AGTTGGTTTTGCTAGATACAGGGGGTGGACTACTTCTGCACACCCACTTCGCCCTGTAAGCAGCTACTTTTGCTTTTGTGCATGCCCCCCGACTTCCCCACGCAGTTATATCTGCTTTAGTCTAGACCACAAAGCTAGGTGTCGACAGGTGGCTAGCTGCTATGAGCACTTGGTGGTTTATACTTTTGCAGAAGTTTCTGTTTTCAACTAGCTCTCAATGCTGCTAAGTTTCTGGAACCCAGTGTCTTAACCAGATCTTGATCAAGCAAAGTTTCTTATAATTTTCCATGTCCTTACATTGGGACATGAACAAGCAGCCTTTCTTACAACAGGAAGGAGAGGGAGGGAAGGATGAAGATGAAACTTGCTGCTGGTTCTCAAGGACAGCACTGCCTGTTGTAAAGTGGGCCCTCATACACCCCTTTAGTAATCAAGAAAGTGCACCATCGAAAATACCTACAGGCTAATGTGATACAGCAATTTCTTGGTTGAGATTCCTTCTTCTCAATATTGAGTTGATAAAAACTAACCAGTACGGGGTATTTATTAGGTTGCTTTGATTTGGTTTTTGGCTTTTGATACATGGTCTCTCTACCTAACCCCGGTTGTCTTGGAACTTGCTATATAAACCAGGCAGGTCTCAAACTAACTGCCTCTTCCTCCCAAGCGCCGGGATTAAAGGCCTGAGCCGTAATACCTGGCCGTTTTTGAGACAAGTACTCGTTTAGCTCAGGTTTACCTGGAACTTGCTACATACCTGAGATAATGGGTATATGCCATGATGTCAAAAAATGTATTTAAGGATTCCATTTTTTCTAACATATTTTCATTGATTATTTGGGAATTTCACATTATTACTTTATAAATAATACCAATCAAAATTTCCAGTTCCTCCCCTCCTCCCACTTCCCTCCTGCTCTCCCACATACCCTCCCCTACTCCCTCCAGTCCTGAGAGAGGGCAAGGCACCCTACCCTGTGGGAAGTCCACGGCCCTCCCACCTACATCCAGGCTTAGGAAGGTATGCTTCCAAATAGAATAGGATCCGAAAAAGCCAGTACAAACAGTAGAGACAAATCCCAGTGCCATTATCATTGGCTTCTCAGTCTGCCCCAACTGTCAGCCACATTCAGAGGGTGCAGTTTGATCCCATGCTCATTCAGTCCCAGTCCAGCTGAATTTGGTGAGTTCCCATTAGCTCTGACACATTGTCTCAGTGAGTAGACCAACCCCTCATGGTCCTGACTTCCTTGCTTATATTCTTTCTCCTTCCACTCTTCAATTGGACCTTGGGAGCTCAATCCAATGCTCCAGTGTGGGTCTCTATCTCTATTTCCATCTCTCGCCAGGCAAAGGTTTAAAGTGCCCCCATGAGTTGGCATGGTACTGTGGAAGACAGTATGCACTGTTAAGCAAACAGGCCAAGGGGAATCAGAGTTTTTACAGGACATTGACTAACACATTTATCTTAGAGTTAATACATATACAACAGCTAGTGTTTCCCCATCTTATGTTATCACTTTTCATATTCCCTTGAAATAGTCTTTGTTTTCTCTGATTTTAAGCCAAGAACTGTGCAATTATATTTTCAAAAGATGGGTGCATTAGGGAATGAAATGAAAATCACTAATAAATTTTCTGGAATTGTAATTAAAAGAAGTAAAAGTCTATGCATGGATGTTTATTTTTATAAGCAGCACTTCTGTATCATACAATTTGCCAATCCCTTAGGAAATGATGGTGTTAGCTCTAGTTACCCTGAGAATTGTTTGTTCTTATTAAATGTTTTCCTATAGGAAACAGGAGTGTAAATTCTTCATTATTTCAGAGATGATGAATTTCTATATTATGGTGTATGTAACATTTAGCAAGAATACTAAATATTAAATGAACTGGATACTGTAGAAATACTGATTTCTGACCATGCATTAAATTAGTCAAAAATGATTTCTCTAAGACAACATATAAATAAGCAAATCTGTCAAATATTTTGGATAGAATGAGGAAGAAAGAATGGTCCATCCACACTGTTTATTCTCCATACAAAAGGACAAACTTGGAAGAATTTACTTGTTCAAATGAAGAAAGCTCTTGAACTAATAAAGGGTCAGTGCTGTCATAACTTCTTATGTTGAAATATAGAGAGATAATTGTCAATGATTACAAAATATGTTTTAAAATTAGGAAATCTTTCAGTTTTATATGGTATCCAAAAGATCCAACAAAACTAAATGCAATTTTATTTATTGCTCTGTGGGTCTTATAATACATAATGTGATTTGTGTTGTTTTCCCTTATAGTATGTGTTATGAAGATGTATGTTGCATGTAATTGTTAAAGCAGAACGAATCAATAATTTTGAATGAGGAAAATTTAGTGTAAGTATATATAATTAAACATTTGTATCAATGTTACTAATGGGAAGATTTGAATAACTGAGAATAATTAATGGTATGTTGTTTTGTAGTATCTACATGCCCTAAAGAACTTTGATGACCATGGAACTATTCTTTACAATAGTTTATGGTTGTATGAGGGATGAATAAACATAAGAATACTGAGTATTTCTTTTCAAGCAAAGTTTGTGGGATACATTAGGTTTTCTTTATTTCACAATGCTTCATCTGCCTAAAATATCCTCTCTCAAATCTTTAGTTCCTTTATGGACTATTTAAATATTTAAATGATCATATATATATAATCCTTCTACATATTCATGCAAATAACAAAGGAAATAATAGATTTTCAGTTCTCTGATATTTTGCATTTATTTTTATATTTTTTACTGTTTTCTATAGAAAAATTTATACCTCAAAAGCTAGAAACAATTCTATTAGCATTCACAATGTAGAAAATACTATCTTATATATAATTTTTTACCTTAAAGGACTTAAATGATCATATTATGGCTATTTTAAAATCTAATAAAAGTTTTTTAACTAGAGATGATGTCACTAATTCTTTATTTAATAAATGTCTTATAAGTTGACTTTTGATTAGAATTGAATAAAGTCTTTCAGGAAAGCTTTCATAATATAAAATAATTTTAAAATCGTGACTTCTGAAATCAGTCTAAGTCTCCCCTTTACTTTGAATGGTAGCCACAATACTTTATGTTTGCTCATATTCCTATCATATCATTCCATGTTTTCTTAGTATGTCCTAAAATATTTACATGTGTCTCCTTCTAACTAGCTTACCAAGCATTTCATAGCACTAGACCCTACATTGAATCAATACTACAGAAATGAGAAAAATATGGTACGTCACTCTTTATAACAGCATTACCAAACTGTTCATAATGAAAGAAAGTCATGCCTGGGATGTGGAACCGGAAATAACTCAGAAACCTTAAATGAAAAGCAAATAAATTCACCATCCTTTGTTAAGTGAAAGTACCTAAACAGCAGGATTATTGCCATAAAACAAAATCACTCAAGAATCAGTTATGCTAATCTTTGATTGACTCAATCAAAAGTACCAATGAGCTGCTAATTACTGACAGTGACTCAGTTTGTTCCTGTGGATGTGTATATTCATTGACAGACATAGATTGTTGTTCATGTGTCACTTGATTCTACTAAACAATCTCTAAACTAATCAGAAAATCATCAGCTACTTAATCATGTTATATAGGACATGTGCATTTTTAAATCTTTAAGTGTATGCTAATTAGTCAATATAAATATTTAATTTATTTTAAAATTCTCTATGCTTACATGACTATAAAAGTGGTAAAATATATAAAGTTTTAATATTGAAAGGAATTATTCCGTAATGTTAAGGTATTGATCTTACACAGTTGTTTGAAAATGAAAATGAGCCTTGTATTTTTACTTGAAACACTGGCTTTATATTTAGAGGTTAAACACTAGTTATTACTATTTCCATACAGATATTTTTCTTTGTTCGAAACTGTCATAAGACAGAAGATGGCAATCCAAAATCCTACAGAAAGGCAGAGTTTTTGGTAGTAGGTTCAACTGAAGACTCAGAAATTTCTGTGATTTCATGTCCTCAGTTCATCTCTAGGAACTGAGTCCTCACTATCACCACACCCTCCCTCCTAGAATCTCCTACCACAGCCTCATGTATTTCCTTCTTTAGGAGTTCTCTTTCTTAGAATGCCCTGTATACATAGTCCTAACCTGGAAATTACTATAGCTACTGGGAACACCACCATTTACAAACATTGTATCACCCAAGTGGCAACTTACTCAAGAGTCTTAACTGAGAAACTTCCAAATACAACACTTGAAAAGTGTATTTAAATAAATTGATGTAATGACAGGTACAGATGAACAGTAATAAGATTAAAGGACTGTGTTTCACATGACTGACATACCTCATGTAAAACAGCCAAAAGGCTCACTCAACTTTGAACTAAAGATTCTGAGTCTTATGAGCATATTTTGCCTACTAGCATTGTATCATATCGATACAAACCATAGTCATTTGGGAAGAGAGAACCTCAAATGAGACAATGTTCTCACCAGACTGACTTTTGGGAAAATCTACATTGTGTTGTCATGATAGATGGTTGATGTGGAGGGGCATCCTGGAAGCATTCTGAGAAAACCATAAAAAGCAAGTCAGTCAGTAACAGCACTCCTTCATGGACTCTACATCAGTTTCTGCCTCTAGTTGCCTTCCCTGAGTCCTTTTCCTGAAGCCCCCACTAGTGAACTTATAAGGTGAAGAAAACTTTTCACAACATTTCCTCCCCATGTTATTTTGGTCACTGTGTTTTATGACAATAGTAAGGTTAACCAAGACACATATCACTGGGATGCAAGCTATGTCCATGCAGTGAACACTAAATTCATTAAGGTGTTTTTGCATGGGTTATAAAGAAAACCTTGCTATGATTACCAAGAAACAAATATTTTTTCTTATATGTGATGTGTGATATTAGCTATTGGGGGTGCTTTTCCTTTTTATTTTTCCCATTTTTATTTTTTTCCTTTTTATTTTATTATGTTTTCTGTAGCCTTATTTGGGGAAAAAAAGAAATGAAGAACCAATCTGTGGAGATAGTGTTCATTTTGCTGGGACTGACAGATGACCCTCCACTACAAATTCTGATTTTCCTGTTTCTGTTTATCAATTACATCTTGAGCCTGATGGGGAACTTAGTGATCATCCTCCTCACCCTGCTCGATTCCCACCTCAAGACTCCAATGTACTTCTTCCTCCGGAATTTCTCCTTCCTAGAAATGGCATTCACATCTGCCTGTATTCCACGGTTCTTGATGAGCATTCTCACCGGTGACAAAACAATTTCCTACAATGCTTGTGCAGCTCAATTATTCTTCTTCTTTCTGTCACTAATCACAGAGTTCTACCTCCTGGCAGCCATGTCCTATGACCGCTATGTCGCCATCTGCAGACCACTGCATTACCCCATCATCATGAACAGCAAAGTGTGTCACCTGCTGGTCATCAGCTCCTGGGTGACTGGGTTCTTAGTCATCTTTCCCCCTTTGATGTTGGGACTCAAATTGGATTTCTGTGCTTCCAAATTGATAGACCACTTCCTATGTGATACTTCTCCTGTCCTCCAGCTGTCCTGTACAGACACACGCTTTATAGAATGGATGGCTTTTGCCTTAGCTGTGATGACCCTCATCATCACCTTGATCTTAGTGATCCTCTCCTACACACTCATCATCAAAACCATCCTAAAATTCCCTACAGCTCAACAACGGAGAAAGGCCTTTTCCACCTGCTCCTCACACATGGTTGTTGTCTCCATCACTTATGGCAGCTGTATCTTCATGTACATGAAAACATCAGCCAAGGAGAGGGTGACTTTAAACAAAGGTGTGGCTGTGCTCAACACTTCTGTGACCCCTTTGCTAAACCCATTCATTTACACCCTAAGGAACCAGCAGGTGAAGGATGCTTTCAAACAGATCCTTCACAGATTGTGTTCTTCTCAAAACAAGGAGTTAATATTTAGGCATAAATAGTATGCTACTAGAACATGAATGAAAGAAGAGGAATGTAATTTTCAAGTATGTCAGTTAGGAACTATGCTTCAAGGTTCGTGTTCTCCGTTACTCTGTCTTTCCATGCCCTCTTAAAGTCCATCCTCCTCCTTTATGAACATTCCCCTGATACCTGCTACAACCATTTGAAATTAAATCAAACATCTACAGGTGATTTTTCAGCCATTATGGATAGTGTTATCTCTTCTGGAATTTGGTAACAAAGGAATCCCCCACTTTGTATTTTATTTCTCTATTTTCTTGCTCCTCATAAAAATTTGAGGTATCCCATCCTTCAGCTGCTTCAGGATGTTGATTTGATGTAGCAGCCTGTCAGTTGGATTTTTCTGAAAACGACTATAAGAAAGTGTACAGGAATCTCAGCAGTTAAGAGTATTTGTTGCTCTTGTAAAGGACCTGGGTTTGGCACCCTGCACCCACATGCTGACTCACGTTAAAAATTTCTTCTTCTGTACTTTGTAGTCATGACATGCACATGGAATACTGACATCCATGCAGGCAAAACACTGACATACATTACATAAAATAAATATTTTATTCAAAACCACTATGGGACCACCAACAGTGAGACCAGGATTTATTCCTACTGCTTGTACCGGCTTTTTAGAACCCATTCTCTTTGCAGGGATACTTTCCTCAGCCTAGATATAGTGAGGAGGGCCTTGGTCCTGCCTCAAAGCAATGTGCTAAACTTTGTTGGCTTCTCACGTAAAGTCTTACCCTTTCTGAGAAGCAGACAGAGGGAATGGGAGGAAGGGTGGTAATAGGGACTGAGATTGGAATGTAAAATGAGAAAAGATAGTTTTTTAAAAAATAACTTTAAAAAGAGAGAGGGAAAAAATCTAAAAATTAAAATAATTTAAAAAATAAAACTATATATAGAATTAAGTCATAATGATGACAAAATTTGATACATTGATAAATCTTTATTACGAATTACTAACAATGCAGTGCCTACTTTTTAAATATGAGTCTACAAGGACTCAAGCCTACATGAAGAACTGTGGACAACTGAAAAACTTGAGAACAGGAAAAATGATCTTCCCTGGAGTTGTCCAGTGTCAACTGGTTAACCTTGAAAACAAACATACAAATAACATCATATGGACTGAGCGGGATATATTTTGGAATATGTATGCATATACTCATAACTATATGCATATAATAAAAATTAATATAAGAAGAGGGCATGAATTTGTAAAGAGTGGAATATGGGAGAATCTGAAGGGATGAAAGGTAAGGGAGAAAGATTGTAGTTTTATCACAAAAGAAAAAAAATAGAACTCCCAAAGTGAATGTGTTGTATGAATTTCAACCTAGAAATATTAATTAAACCACATCTATTTGGAGAGAAAGTACCTTTGACCTCAAGCTTTTAGGAAAAACACATCCTTTTAATTAAAACCGGACTTTGAAGATACAGTAAAGTGAATGTAAATATAAAGAATAAATTACACAAAAGTGTTTAAAAAAACCTAATTACAAATAATAAATTGTGAAAGTTTGTTTAAATTTATAAATCAACAAAATAGGGATTTCCTTAAAAAGCTTTTACTGCAAATTGTTCAATATAGAGAATTTGGAACAGAAATTTAACATATCTTTTATTTATTTTCATTTGTTATTACAATCTTTTCTCGTTTTACATACCTAGCACAGTTACCACTCCTTCCTCTTCTCCCACTCGACTCATCCCCCCCCCCACCATCCACTCCTCAGAGAACATAAGATTTCCCACGGTGAGTTAACAAAATCTGACATATCACTTTGAGGCAGGAACAAGACCCTCCCCATTATATCTAGGCTGAGCAAAATGTACCTTCAAAAAATGGACTCTAAAAAGGCAGTTCAAGCAGTAGGGATAAATCCTGGTCCCACTGCCAGTGGCCCCACAGAATTCCCAAGCCACACAATTGCCACCCACATTCCGAGGGCCTAGTTTGGTCCTATGCAGATTCCCTGCTTTCAGTCGAAGTCAGTGAGCTCCCACGAGCTCAGGTCAGCTGTTCCTGTGGGTATACCTATCACAGTCTTGACCCCTTTGTTCATATTATCTCTTCTCCTTCTCTTTGACTGATCTCTGGAAGCTCAGACCAGTGCTTAGCTGTAGATCTCTGCATCTTCTTCCATCAGTTCTATGATGACAATTATGGTAGTCATCAATCTATAGTGCAAGGCCCATGCAGGTAGCCTCTCTACTATTTATTAGAGTCTTAGCTGTGGTCATCCTTGTTGATTCCTGGGAATTTATTGGTGCCAAGTCATGCTAGGCTGATAATGGCTCCCTCTTTCAAGTTATCTCCTTCCTGGCTCTAGCTCTCTGTCCTTTCCCTATCTCAACCATCCTGTTCCCTCACTTTCTACTCCTCCCTCCCCTCCTACTCTCCCCCTCCCCTTCTGCTCTCCCTTCTCCCTCACACCACCTCCCAATTTTCTCAGGAGATCTTGTCTATGTCCCCTTCCAAGGGGATCCATGTACTTCTCTCTCAGGGTTCTCCTTGTAGCTTCTCCAGAGTCATGGACTATAGGCTGGTTATCCTTTAATTTACATCTAATACCCACTTATGAGTGAGTACATACCGTGTCTTTCTGGGTGTGGGTTACCTCACTCGGGATATTTTTTTCTACTTCCATCCACTTGAATGCAAGTTTCAAAATGTCATTTTTTTTTACCACTGAGTAGTACTCCATTGTGTAAATGTAACATATTTTCTTGATCAATTCTTTAATTGAGGAGCATCTAGGTTGTTTCCATGTTCTGGCTATTATGAATAATTGTTAATATAAACATGGTTGAATAAAATGTCCTTGTGGTATGAGTGTCCATCCTGTGGATATATACCAAAGCATTGAAGTAGGTTGATTTCCATTTTTTTCTGAGAAACCATCGTACTGATTTCTAAAGTGGCTGGATGCATTTTCAATCCCATTTGCAAGGGAGGAGCATCCCCCTTACTCTGCATCCTCTCCAGCATAAGCTATCATTGGTGTTTTTGATCTTAGTAATTTTGATTGGTGTAAGATGGTACCTCAGAGTCATTTTGATTTGTATTTCCCTGATGGCTAAGGATGATGAGCATTTCCTTGAGTGTCTTTTGGACATTTGGGATTCTTCTATGTGAATTATGTTTAAATCTGTACCCACTTTTTAATTGGATTAGTTGATATTTGTTATCTAGTTTCTTGAGTTCTTTATATATTTTAGAGATCAATCCCCTCTCCAAAGTGAGATTGGTGAGGATCTTGTCCCATTCTGTAGCTTTTGTCTTATTGATTGTGTCCTTTGCCTTACAGAAGCTTCTCAGCAGAAGGTCCCATTTATCAATTGTTGCTCTCAGTGTCTGTGCTACTGGTCTTATATTTAGGAAGTAGACTCCTGTGTCCATGCATTCATTTAAGACTATTTTCAACTTTCACTTCAGTGTGGATCGGTGTGGCTAGATTTATTTTGAGGTCACTATTCTTCTTGGACTTGAGATTCGTCTATGGATCTGTTTGCATTCCACTACATATTGACATTCAGTTATATCAGCATAGTTTGTTGAAGATGGTTTCTTTTCCTATTGTATAGTTTTAGCTTCTTTGTCAGAAATCAGGTGTTCATAGGTATGTGGATTGATATCAGAGTCTTCGATTCCATTCCATTTGTCCTCCTGTCTGTTTTTATGCCAATACCATGTTGTTTTCATTACTAAACCTCTATGGTAGTGCTAGAAGTCAGGAATGATGATGGCTCCAGAAGTTTATTTCATTTACGGGATTGTGCTATAGGAAATGCTTCAGCCAGCAGCCTTTAAGTTACCAGCCCACTTAGGCATAGGCTCTTATACTACAAATGCAGATGTAACGTGTGTGTGTCTCTCACTCTCTTCTGGCTGCTGGATTCAGTTCCTGTTCACCATTCATGCTGAGTACTGTGATCTGTGGGTCTACCCCAAAATAAATAACTCTTTATTATACTCATTTCTGAGCTAGTGTGGGATTTCTTTTTAAAGTCCGTCTTCATCTGACACCCACGTGAGTACAACCTTCACACCTACAGGGTGGACCGTACTGAAATGCCCAAAAAGTCTGCAGCCCAAAAGGTCTTCTACCCTGTCTGCCTTCTAAGTGTTTTTTTTTCAAAACCTCACCACAGCAGAACTAATGGGGTGACACAGAAAATTCCTAGGCTCTCACACACTTCTCCCCCCAAAACCAACTACCACGTTCCCTGCTGTGCGGTAGCTTACCCAGCTTCTGGTTTGTGTTCCCTGCTTATGAGCTTTTTGCTGCCTGTATGGAATTGACTTAATTGCTTTTAATTTGTAAAGTAAAGCATATTTGTCAGTATTTAAATAGCCACCAAGGCAGGAAACCAAATCAGTGTGCAAGACCAGCATCCCAGAAACTCATATTTATTGGAAGGATGTTATAAAGTACTATATACAAAGGTCACTAGTCATTCAGGCTGTACAAGAACACAAAGCAACTAGCAAAGCTTTAGAGGTACCAATAGTCTTACCTTTAAAATGGTTAACAGAAGAAAAATATGAGCTAAACAATAGCCTTTAAGAGAAGATAAACTGCAGGCTTTAGAACAGCTAGTATAGCAACAAGTAAATGCTCACTATATTGAAAAATCAACCAGCTTTTGGAATTCTCTTGTATTTGTTGTTAAAAAAAGAAATCTGCTAAATGGAAAATGGTGACAGATCTAAGAGCTGTCAACAAGGTAATTCAACCTATGGGTCATCTACAATTTGGAATTCCTTTGCCTTCTCTATTACCAAATGGATGGCCTCTTATAGTTATTGATTTAAATAATTGTTTTTTCACTATACCTTTACAAGAAAATGATAGAGAAAAATTGCCTTCACAGTGCCTACTTATAATAATTCTCAGCATATGAAGAGATACCAATGGACTATCCTCCCACAGGGGATGCTCAGTAGCCTTACCCTATAGCAACACTGACGAAT